CAGCTTTCGATACGGTCGACCGCTAGGGGGGGCCGGTCCAGCGTCTGACACCTGAGGCTCTCCTGCTTTCGAACTTGGTAATCATCATCAAAGGAAAAATCTTGACTAAATGGTAAAGCTTCCATTTTCTTTGATTATTTCTTTTCTAAAATGGGTTTAAAAAAAAAAATATTACAAAAAAAAATTAAATATATTTATTTATTTTTAAAAAAACGAAAAATAAAAAAAAATAAAAAAAAATATTTGAAAAAAAATTATTAAAAAAAAAAAAAAATTAAATTATTTTTTTTTTTTATTGGGAAATCAAATTTGGTATTCCAATATTTCCTATCTAAACATGTAAAAATAATATATAAATAAGAGAATCAATTAGATTTATAAATAAAAATAAAAAAATAATAGATAATAGATTGCTAAATTTTACCTTTTTTTTAAAAAAAAAAAAAATAAAAAAAAATTAATTTTTTAAAAAAAAAAAAAAAAAATTCAATTGTTTTAAAATTTTTTTCTTTTCATTTATTGCAGAATTAATATAATGTCATCCCCCCCAATAATTGAACAACAAGAGAAATGTTTAGATTTATTAAAAGAATTTAAAAAAGGAATAGATCAACAAGTTAACAATTTTTTAAACAATAATAACAATTATGACAATGATAAACAGAATTTATTCGAATTACTATTTAAACTAAGAGATACACAAGGGAATTTAGAATTAATGGTCGACGATGTATATTTAAAGCCAATTAGGGAAATTAAAGATAATGTTAGCAAATATGATATTCAAATCGAGGATATATTATATGAAAAGTCAATGTTGGAATCTGAAATAAATGACCTTCAAAATTTAAATTTCGATTTAAACGATCCCAAGTTAGGAATTTCCTCGCTTTCAAATTTTTTAAAAGATAAAACTCCACAACAAATTGAACAATTTAATAGCAAACCAATAGAAATTCAAAATGTAGAAAGATTAGAATGGGAAATATATCAACGAAAATTGTAAATATATATATTTTAAAAATACAATTAATATAATATCTAACAATATTTAATTATTTAATTAATTAGAAAATCAAATAAATTAGAAAAGTTAGAAAAACTAAAAATAAAACTAAATCAAGAGAATCAAAGAGTTTTAGGGGATTTAGAGTTTTTTGAAAATAAATTAAAATCAGGTTTGGATATAAAGAAATCTATAGAACCCTTTCAAAAATTTATTACAGAATTACCAACAAAGAATCCAATAGATCATAGAAATACACCAATACTTGTCGATGCCCCACAACCAATTTATATTTTATATCACGAGCTAGCCTACTTTAAAGAATTCTTTTTATATGATAGTTTTGATATTGAATTATTAATAATGGATAAAGAAAAACAAGACTCTATAAATTCAAATTTAGTTCATCGTTCCTTAATATTACCAAGTAAAATATATATTTCGTTGGATATAAAAAGTAGGTATAATATATAATATTTTACTAAAATCATATAAAATATTAATTTTTTTTAATTAGAAAATTCAAATAATTTCAAAATAGAGTTTTATTATTATCCAAATTTAAAAATTGTAACAGTATTACCATTATTAAATGATAGCTTTGAAAATGGCCAGAAACTATTAGAAAATTTAGATAAAACAGACACTGGTTTAATAACTCCAAATCTTTCAAATAACTTTATATCTAAAAAGTAAGTATATGATATATAATATATTTGCTTAACGAATAAAATATTAATATTATTTAAATATTTTAGTTATGGAAAAGATTCATTTAATTTGGACGATTTAAAACTATACGGAAGACCTTACAAATGGGCACAATTTATTACAGGCTTATCATTTTTACCAGAAATAACACAAGAAAATATGAAAGATAAAAACTTTCATATCCACGATTTCAAACCTAAAACATCACATAAAATTTTATTTGACATAATAAATTCACTATAATTTTAAAATAAACAAAACCACAAAAATTCTTAATTTTTACTATTTAATTACACAAAAAAACAATAAATAAAAAACAATGTTCAAATAATAACATAGATAATGCTAAAATACTAAAACTAAATTAACTAAAACCTATAATCCACAATTTCTTTTTAAATAAAATAAATAAAACCCTAATGTTTTTTTTCGTTTTTTTTTTGTAAATATCCCTATTTATTTAAAATTCATGAATTTACTTTTTTGAGTCAATTTGAACGGTTGGGACGGTCTGTTAAAAGAAAAAAAATTAATGTTAATTCATAGGTTTGGTATATTTTCGTTCGTTATGAATATGATTACTTACTGGTGGGAGAGTTTGCATTAATTTAACAGCTTTGGCGTTATCAGCAACTTTGAGGGTGTAAAGGTACTTTCCGCATCTAACCTTGAATTTGGTGAGGTTTTTGCCAACTTTTTTGATTCTAATTTCTTTAGCGTCTTTGTTTCTGACGGTGACTAAAAAGTCTTTGATTTCACGGATTTCTTTTGGCTATAATGAATAATATGATTAATATCATGTTGTATGTGTATGTTTATCTAATATAGGTTTGATGTGTTGATTGTGTTGGATAAATGTTGAATATTGAAAGATTGACCCATTTTATCAAAGATTGAGAAGGATTGATAGATAGATAGTAATATATAGAGAGATAGAGATAAAAATACTATACCATTTTATCTGGATATACACAAATTGAGCTCACAAAATAAAAAATTTTTAAAAAAAAAAACTGCTGAAAACAATCGTTTCCGTAAAAAAAAAAAATTTTAATTTTTTTTTTAAAAATTTTTTTTTTAAAATTTTTTTATGACATTGTAACACACATTAATGTGGGGTTAGTTAGAAAGCTCTGGTTCATATGAAAAATAATATTTTAAAATACAACACCAAATTATATTTCTACAATTAATATTTTAATTGTTTTTCGTATTGTTTTTATTTGGATTATAACAAATTAGTTATTTACCAAAAAAAAAAAATAAAAAAAAATAAAAAAAAATAATTAAAAAAAATAAAATTAAAAAATAAAAAAAATACATATACAAATTATTACCAAAAAAAATAAAAAATAAAAAATATATTAAAAATAAAATTTGTTTCTTTATTTTTTTTTGGATGATTTCTTTGCTTTTTTTTTTTCTTTTTGTTGCTTATTTTCTTTCATTTCTCTTAATAAATTTGATGCAGGACCTGCCAAACCTTGTTGCTCTGATAATGATTCCAATAAGTTTTTCACAAGATTTAAATCTAAATTGACTTTTTTATTTGTATCATCTTCGTTTGTGTTATTATTATTAATATCTATATCTATATTGTTTTCTTTGATTTCTTCTGGTGTTAAAATTTGATTAATAGTTGGTTCAACTTCAAATGAAGAATTTGTATAAATTTTTGAATTTAACTCTTTATCCATTTGTTTCATGTAGGTCTTCATTGTTGATTTCTTTAAAAACTCTACATATTTAAATTCTTCTTGATCATCTTCTTCGCTGCTGCTTTGATAATCTTCATCATCGTCATCGTCAGTGTCACTATCACTCTTTCCTTTGTCGCTTTCATAGTCATCACTATCGTCATAGTCATCAATATCTTGATACATATCATCGCTTTCGTCGAAATCTTCATCTTGATTATCTTCATCTTCGCCCATTGATGCTAAACCTTTTAATAGGCCCATAAATTTCTTTGAATCAAATGAAACACCTTCATTACCTTGACTACCATTTTTCTTGTTTTTAATATTTACACCGTCAATCGAGGATAGTTGTGAAAGCATTGATTTGAAAGATTTTGAAAAGTTATTGATGGTATCCTCTTCACTATTATTACTTGCACTACCGTTGCTATTACTTTTATTAACATTCTTATTTTTACCACTGCCACCATTATCGGCGAAACCAAAACCATCTTTTTCAAATTCATTAATTAAATCTTCAAATTTATCTGGTACTTCATTTAACCATTGTTCATCGGATTCTATTAGTTCGTTGTCTGAAGTTTCAACATGTTTTACTATTTCACTTTCTTTAGAGGATAATAGCGAGTTTAAAATTTTATCTATTAATAAATAAATTTTTGAATCGTTATCATCTACATTTGATTCATTTCTTTCTTCTTGTTGGCCTTGTTGATGTTGTTTGTTTAAATAGTTTGTTTTTAATAGTATTAATTTTTCCCTATATAGTTTTGAACCTTCTTTTTCATTTTGGAAATAATCTGAAGATTTAATTTTTTTTAAATATTGTAACCAATTCAAGTCATCGTTGAAATTATATTTTTCTGGATTATTTGAGTTTAGTTTGTTTTGTTTTTCAATTTCATGATTTTTTTTTGATTTCTGATAGAGCATTTCTAAACCACAAATAACTTTTATACCTAATGATTTTGCTTCATATGTTGGATGTGATGGTTTTGGTAATGAGATTGGGAAGTTTCGGGGTGAGTTAAAGTGTTGTAGTTTTAACATTGCATATAGACATCTTGTGAATCTAATTTTTGTAAAAATAAATTCATTATATTGGCTGTTATTATTATTATTATTAGTTATTGTATTGTTATTATTATTATTAATATTTTTATTGGTGTTGTTTGATACTACTGATGAAAACCATTTCATTGTTGTAATAGATTTCATATCATCTACATCTCTATTATAAAACGTTGTTGTGATGCTTGATATTAATTGTGGATATTCTTTTAATAAAAATGAAACTCCTATTGGCAAATAGACCAGACTAATATGATTTTGTTCTATTAAATATTCACCATCATAAAATCTAAATAAATAATTTTTGAAAATAAAGTTTTAGAATACTAATCATAAAATAATAATAGTAATAATATTAATATATACTTTTTTAATTTATTGTTTAGGATTTTTGTAGTTTCATTTGATACAGTTGTATTTATTTGTTTATTGGTTGATAATACTGTGATGGCAGTTTCAATATCCATTTTATAAGGTATTTCGTCTAGTTGGGAGGGATTCGAGGGTAACGGTATCAATCTTAGTTGACCATCCATTATAAATACTCTGTTTCTTGTATTTGTTGGTTTTACCCATTTGGGTAATGTTTTTGATGTTTCGATTAATAAAAATTCACCATCGTTATCTTTGACTGAAATAATTAGGTTTTTAAATTTTTTTGATATTTCTATTAATATATAAACTATAAACCATTCATCATCTATTGATTCATCGAATTTGATTTTAGAGTAATAGTATGATAGTGATTTATTATTATTATTATTATTATTATTTTTATTTATTAATTTTAAATTGAATGGTTCTTTCTGCCATATATATTCTTTGATTAAATGATTTGTAAAGATTTTGATTTCGTTAAGTTCGTTATTATCATTATTATTAATATTATATATTTTGCATTTAACGAAATTGATATCTTGATTCTTTTGATAGGTTTCTTGTTTTAGTAAATCATCATCTTCATAATTTTGGGTGTTTCCAAAAAAATTAAATTTATTTGACATCTATATATATAATTATAACAACTGATTATTGAATATGCATGTATTATAAAAAGATGAAAAGAGGTATCATTAACAAATTTTCGACAATAAAAATAGGGTTATTTTTAAAAAAAATTTAAAAATTTAAAAATTTAAAAATTTAAAAAAATTAAAAAAAAAAAAAAACTTGGAAAAAAAAAAAATTTATTAAATAAAATTTTATTAATTTATTTTATTTAAATATTATTATTTATTATAAGTACACTGTAATTTTACTAAATCCATCCTATATAGTAGTTGATTTGGGTGTGTGTTTCCCTAATTATTCTATTAATCTTTTTTGGCAATGGTTGCGCCATTATTTTAATTTATTTTTAAAATTTTTTTTTAATATTACCAAATTAGATATTATTTTTTTATTTATAATATATATATATATATTTAAAACACACCCACAACCAATAAAATATTTAATAAAAATTTTTTTTGTAGTTTTTTCCAATAGCAATAATAAACTAGTTTAAATAACATTATATAATAAATAAAAATAAATACCCAATATTTTATATATCAATAATGAAAATAAATATAGTTTTATTTGTTGTTTTGTTTTATTTCTTTTTTAATAATGGTTTCTCAAATGGTTATCCTTTTTCAAGTGGTGGCCTGGACCAATCATTTGTCAAATTCGATATGGATAGAGGGGTATTGGAGAGGGCCTATAATAGTGGTAAAGAAGCTTTGGAATCGATTACAAAGAGTTCAAACGATAACAAATGCTTGAGGGAGTGCCTGGAAGAAATGCACAGTAGCTGTAGTGATATGGATGATACTTCAACGAGCAGATTGGCAGTAAAGTTGACCAATTGCCATTTGGAAAAGAGTGGTTTAAAGACTTATAGATGCACATCCCAAATGACAGTTAAAGAGTGTACAGGATCAATGGACCAGGTTTCCTTTTTGTCATATACAAATTTTTATATTTCAACACAACATGTTTGCCACTACATCCATCAAGAATATTTCAACAAAAAAACAGAACAATCAGTAAATAAACTTATAGATTCTACAGTGTTGTCAATTAATACTCTCGATTATATATCATCTCAGTCAGAAGGTGTCTCAGATTCATTGGATGATATTAAGAAAAGATCAGATTTAATTCAATCAGAGTTGCAAAGTCAAGCTGAAAAGCAAACAAACCTTTTAAATTCTCAAAAGGAGTCAATTAAACTAACAGAGGTTATCCAATCAATAACAAACTCATCATTATCAAAATTAAAGAGCCTCATTGAATTCCAAGATCAGTTAATCGACACTAATAAAGTAATACTCGATGTTCTAGATCAGCTCGGTTATCTTCAAAACTGGGTTCTTTCAGAGGTTGTTGATTTTAAATCCATTTATTTTTATTTATTTACAATTGTGGTTGTATGTATTCACTAAAAATATTTTATAAATTATATAGCATAGCCTTATCTAATTTAAAATTTTTCAGATCTATATAATATCATCAACAAAAAGAACAAAGTCAGCAAGAGTACCTTTGGTTTTTGGTTTGGTTGTAGATATTTTTTTCGAGAGTTTTTTGTGTGTAAACATGAAAACTACCTCAGATATTACTAGAGCTGTATTAAAGTATTTAAATGGAATTCCAATCATTCATTTGGTATGGAGCACTTTTATTGACAGTATTGGCAGCGGTGCATCAACAGAGCTAAATCAATATATATACTCAATGATATCAAATATTAGAACTCTATTTATAATATATTGTATAATTATCCTGGCTTCATCAATTTGGTTTTACAAAAACTATGAAAAAGAAAATTATTATTTGCTTTTGGAATTATTAAAAAAACACAAAAAATTAAAAAAGTCATTATACAACCAAGGTATTATCAAGAATGCAAATGGTGATCAACCAGATGATTTCGAAGGTAATTAGTGATGCAAAAAAAAAAAAAAAAAAATTAAAAAAAAAATTAAAAAAAAAAAGAATCACCCCTATAAGTAAAGTTTTTCAAAATAAGAAAATAAAAATAAAAAAAAGGTATCTTATTTATTTATTTCTAAATTGTCCATATAGGTTTTGTAATTTACAAATTTTTTTTTTATATTTTTTTTTATTTTTTATTTTTTTTAATTTTTAATTTTTTTTTTTTTTCAAAATTTAATATAATAAACCAAAAATACACCACCCAGCCCATACTAAATCACACAATCAAAGAAATTTTTATAAAAAAATGATAGTGTGGTTTTTAATCACCAAAATTAATATATCGTGGTATTTTTATAATATGTAGGTTATTAAATAAAAATAAAAAAAAAAAATAATAATTCAAATTGTGTGAACGTTTATTGATGTATTGGTTTCATCATATGTTGAATAACATCCCAATATATTAAAGATATAACTTTGGAAAAAAAAAAGATAGAAAGAGATTAGAGGAGGAGGTTTTTTTTTTTTTTTTTAATAAATGGGGTGTGTGGTTAAATAAATAAAATATTTTTGTTTTTTTTAATTTTGTGTTTTTTTTTTTTTTTAATTGTTTCAAAATTTTTTTTCTTTTATTTAAACAAATTGAATAGGAAACACACTGAAGTAGACAGTTGTAGTAATAATAAAGTTATATATTATATTTATATTTATATTTTAATAATTAATTTATATTAAAATAGAATAATAAAATAATAGTATAACAAAATAATAAAATAATATAAATATAATTTTAAAATCAAAAGATCTCTAAATCTTATTTTAAAATTTAATAGTTGTTTAATTTAAAAAAATAACTTAATTTTAAAAAAAAAAAAGATAATTTTTTTAAAATAATAATAATAAACAACACACACATACCACACACAATAACAAATATATTAAAATTATATATAGTTAATAAAATTTATGTTTAAAAATGAAAATGGTATTAAAACTTTTAGTTTTCTTTTTATTTTTAAATTTAATTTTTGGGTGTAAAGAGTTCACTTTAGATTATACAGAGAATGAAGCAACAGGGTGCATAGGATCGTCAATGACTTTAGTATTTAAAAATTATCAGCAATATAAAACATTTAAATTCTCACCTGATCCGCTCGGCATAGAGACAACGGCCACAGAAAAAACAGTTCACTTAAAGTATTCAACTCAATATACTCTTTCATACACAAGTGTTGGGGATTGTACAGCTATACAAACACAAACATTTAATTTCCCATCGCCAGCATTAACACCATCCTCGTTTACATTACAACAACCAGTGTGTGCATTTTCTAAAGGTTCGGTAAATTTACAAAATAAAAATTCAGATTCAGTATATAAATTATTTGACGATTATAGTAGCCCTGCCATAACGATCACAGGTACCTCTTTAAATTTGGATAGCGGTAATTACAAGATCCAAGACACAAGTAACTCCAATGTATATACTCAATGTCAAGTTGGTTTTTCAATTGCATCATCTTCTGCTAATTTCCCATCCATTACTGTAAATCCTTCGTTATGTTATAAAGATAGTGGCTCAATAACTGTTGATAATTATTCACAATATACTTCAATCAAATTATCAGATACTAGTTCACCAACTACCGATATTTCTGGCACTAGTGGTAAATTTTCATCTTTACCTGCTTCTGACTATACTCTTGTATTGGTTAGTGCAACATGTGGTACACAAACCGTTCCATTAACAGTATCATCAGCCTCTCCAAGTTTAGACTTTACCTTTACAGACTCAACTTGCCCATCAAAGCCAAAGATTTCAGTTTCAATAGATGACAAGGATGTTCCCAGTACTGAGCAATTTACAATGACCCTTAACAGCGTCGCTTCATCCAATAATGTATTATCACCAACTATTGCTGCCGGCATAACTTCTTTACCTTTCACTTTTGAGTACAAGAGCTGCGATTTTAGTTTCCAACTCCCAATTCCAAAGGCCATCATGAATTTAAACTATGATATCAAAGACTCTTTCGAACCAACTTTAATTAACGACTGTGCAGCTACCTCATCATTTACTGTTCAATATGATAAAGATGCAATTGATGGTTTAAAAGTTTCAAATACTAAGGATTCCTCAGTAGTTTCAGCAAATCAGGATGGATCATATCCAATAGAAATGGGAAATAAATTAGCAGTCACATCAACATGTTATGTAGACCCAATTTATATTGAAATTCCACAACCAGAGCCAATTTATGAAGTTCAATATGGTATTAAAACATCCTGTGCCGAAAATACAACCATTCAAGTTTTCAATCATTTAGATTTTAGCGATGTTCACCTTGAATATACATCAGATTCATCAAAGAAAATCAAACTCGATAGCGACGGTTACTTTAGAAATATTTTTAGAACTGATTATAATTTAGTTTATCAATTTTGCTCTTCATCACAGGTTTCTAAAAAGTCAATTTCCTTATATGATCCAACTATTTTACCAGATTTTGAAATAGTCTCAAGTAGTTCAAATCAAAACTTGGATTGCCAAACTTTAACAGGTTCAGTATCTTTAACCTTTAAAAAAAATGATGGCACAAAATCAACACCAGTTTCGACTTCATATGACCCAACTCTATTAAATAGTGTTCCAGTAAAATTTAGTGACCATTGTACAGTTAATTTAAATTTTGCTTCAAAACTAGAAAGTAGCTTCAAATGTTTGTATCTTTAAATAGAAATATCAATAATAGTATTTTTTTAAAAATTTAATATTAATATTTGTTTCTTCACCCAATATAGACGTAGTTAATAATAAACCAACAGTAAATATAAATAGTGCAAGTTGCTTATATTCAAATGATGCTTCACTTGAAATTAAAAGTAGTGGCGCTTCATTTGATACAATTATAGTTGGGGATAAGCAATTTATTTATTCAAGTAACAATTTATATGGAGGTCTTGCACCGGGCCAGTATAAAGTTAAAGTTTTATATGCTAGCTCCAATAACAACTATTGTGGAGGTTTAGATTATGACCTTGGTACCATTACAGTTCCATCCAAGGATTCAACATTTAAAGTAGAGACCACAGTTACCCCAGTTACTGATTGTGGTGTTGGTGGAGGTTCAATAGAGGTTTTAAATCCAGGAACATTCACCTCTTTAATGATAGGCTCTACCTCAGCAACTTCAGGCAAATTTAGTAACCTCGGATCAAAGATTTATAATGTTGATTTTAAATCAGCAACCTGCTCCGGCTCAATCCCAGTTTATGTAAACACAAATAATCAAAATTCATTATTAACAAACACAATTAAGCAGCCAACTTGTTACTCTGGTCAAGCAAGTTCTGTTAGTGGCGATGGTATTGTATCATTTACACTACTTGATAGTGCTGGACAAACCGAGTTAACTATAAGTGGTATCCTCGAAGTAAATTCAAATACTGCAGTTTCCACTAATAGTATCCCTTCTTCTCCAGGTAATAAAGATTTCATTGTTTCTTCAGGTCAATGTTCTTATAGAAAATCAGTTACCCTTACTTTAGATGATCCAAAGATAACCTATACATCAACATATCCATACAATTGCTTTAGCGACTATGAAAGTGGTTCTATTAGTTCATCAAATACTGGTGTTTCAATTAATTCGCTCACAGTTTTATCAAAATCTGATTCACCAAAATCAATATCCAGCAATACTGTCAACAATATGAAGGGTCAATATGGTGTAGTTGTTAATTGGAATTCAGTTTGTAAAAAGACTGTTGGTATTGTAACTCAGCCACCAAAAGAAATATCCAAACCGGTTTTATCATTTACCCAAGAGTCTTGTATGTCTGATTATGGTTTGCAATTAAAGGTCACCAATTCAGATGATTTTAGCTTATTATCAATTAATGGTCAAATGGCTGTTGCCGGTGTTTTTAATAAATTACCAGTTGGTTCAGGAACATTAAAATATGTTGATAAATCAAGTAAATGTGCAGGTACAATGGATTTCAGTTATGACTATAAATTAGCTACTTTAGCATACAAAGGTAATACATCATATGAAACTTGCCATGGTTCATGTAATGGTCAATTTAGCTATACAGCAGATTCTTCTTCAAACTATTTTTCAAATGTAGTTATAAAGGAAAACTCAAAACCATATTTATTACCAACCAAATCAATATCAGCTAGTGATAAGCAATCATATGGTATCTCAACTACAACTTTATTATTTAATTCAATTAGTAAAACCAATCCAATATGTTCAATTGTAACACCAATAAGTTTTTCTTCATTCGAACCCGAATTACTTAGTTTATCCGATCAAAATTGTTCTCCATATATCGAATCAGAGACCAATGAAGAAACAGAACCAGAGCCTGAATCAGGATCAGAGTCAGGATCAACTAGTAATAATACAACAATCCCTCCAAAGATTAATGTCGATGAATCCTTATTATTAGTAGCTGATGATACAAATTTGCATTATGATTTACCAAGCACTTTTAAAGTTACATATAGTTTAACCAATACAAAGTCTCCACAGAAAGTAATTTCTTCAAATAGCGAAACTTCAGCTCAATATAATAGTTTAGAATATGGTGAATATAAACTCAAAGCCGTTCTAGATACAAAGGTTTGCAAGAGATCAATCACACAAACACTTTTAATTAATGAGGCTTCACCAAACCATTCCTATCTTGTAATGGTAGATTCTGAACATTTCTGCCAAAGAGTTCACTTTACACCATCAAAAATTAATTCAACTTATAGTTATATCATCTCAAATTCTACTACTCTTATATATAATTATACATTAGCAATAGGTTCATTCTCAAGTGATTTATTACAAATTAATCAAAATTATACAGTAGAGGTCATACAATATGCAAATGATAATAAAACTATAGAAAACTCTTGCAGCATTGCATTTACAATAAGAAAGTGCCCACCAGAAAATGGATCCAAAGTTAAATTAATTTTAGGTATTGTCTTGGGTGTTGTTGTATTAGCATTTATCCTTGTTTATATAATATACAAAGCTAGAGAAAGATCAACAAAGAAATTTGAAGAAAAACAATATGAATTAGACGACCACCAAGATGATAATCAAAGTATTCAACAACACCCTCCTTTTCATGGAGATTAGAAACAATATAAATAAATCAATAATAAAATATAAATAAATTAATAATATAATCAATCTGTAATATTAAAAAAGAAAATAAAAAAAAAACTTGTAATATTAAAAAAAACAATAATAATAACTGTAAAATCATTATAAAAATAATCTGAATCTAATGGTTTTTTTTTAAAAAATTTATTTATTTATTTAATTTATTTTATTTATCTCTATTTACATTTGTTTTTTATTTTTTTTAATAAAAAAAAAAATATTATTAGTTTAAAATTATTGAACTGCCCAAACTAAACATAAATTACTTTACATATAAATCAATTGGATTTGTAGTGGTAGACTTTTTATGTAAACCTCCTGATGTATTTAATTTGTTTTTCTTTTTTAAAAAGTTGATATTTCCTATTCCCTAAATGTATTAAAATATTTAAAAATATAAAAATGTATGATTAGATTAAAAATAAAATAAAATGTTAATAGATGATAATAAATCTAAAAAAAAGATATAATATTTAATATGTTTTGTTGAGAGTGGTTAAAATAAATAAAATATCTTAATAAAAAAAAATTATTACCCCTTTTTTGTTTGATAGTTTTTTTCCAATTTTTATTTTTTTATCTTTATCATTTTTTGTATTATCTTTGATTTCATTTTGATCGATATTATCTATTTCATAAATATCATTATTACTCTTTTCAGAATTAATTATTGTTGTATTATTAATGATTTCTGAAATATTATGATTTTGATCTATATTATTTGTTTCCATGTTATTATTAATAATATTATCTTTATTATTATTATTGAAGAAATCATCTTCTTTATCGTTTAAACTAAAACTATCATTTTTTTTAAAAATATTAAAATGATTTGATTCATCCAAAAAAAGTTGTTCATTTAAAATTGAAATATTAAATTCTTTCCCTCCTAATGAGGTTGTTTGATTATTATTTTGATTGTTCTGATAATTATAAATTGATTTTTGTTGGTTATGATTATTAAAACTGTTATTGTTGTTGCACATATTTTCTATTGTTGGTAAAACTAATGGAGATGATGGTGGTGGTGGTGGAGTTTTTTTCTTTCTTTCATTTATCTTTTGACTGTATACATTTTTTTTATTTATTTTTGTATTATTTACCATTAGAATTAAATCAATGCATTCTTTATCATTATCTTCTATTATTGATTTATTTTGATTCATTTATTATTTATATAACTACTGATTTTTTGTGATTTATATATCTATTTTTATAAATTGTTGTTATTGTTGTTGTTTAGTTGTTGTTGTTGTTGTTGTTGTTATTGATATAACGGTGAATGGATCCACATATATATATTTTTTTTACATAGATATTTATTTATTTGGACGAAATAATAAAAATATAATAGTTAATTATTTAATTAATGAAAAAATTTAAATTTAAATTTAAATATATGCATACATTAGGGGAGAGATAAAAGAAATAAAAGTAATAATAATAAAATAATAAAAATAATAATAATAATATTATAAATTATATAGTAATAATAATAAATAATGAGAATAAAACAAAATTAAAAAAATGAAATAAAAATTAAAAATAAATAAAATTTAATATTTAAAAAAAATGTTTAAATAAAAGCACACAGCACACACACACTCAATATTTAGTTTGTTTTTTTACCTTTTTGATAGGGCATTAAGTTGTTATAGATATGATCAACAAAAATATAAAATTTAATAGATATATGTTCAACTATATATAAATATGTATATGTATAAAATAAATATTAGAGTTAAAACAAAAGAAATAAAAAAATATATTTGATTTTTTTATTAGATTCAATTTTGAAACCTATTATCCTTTTTATTATAAAATATTATTTTAAATATTTTTTTTTTTTTTTTTATTGTTGTTTTTTTTTCACATTAATAAAAATATAATAATTTATGTGTGTGTTGTGTGGTAAAAAAAATCTATTTTTTGGTAAGCTAAGTATTTTAAAAATAAATAAAAAACTATATGATCTCTTCAAAGAATTAAACAGTAAAAAAAAAATAAGCTAATAGATAAAATTCAATATATAAAAAAAAAAAAAAAAAAAAACTGATCACAAGAAATAATATATCAGATAAAATAATAAATCAGATAAAATAATAAATCAGATAAAATAAAATAATAAAAATAAATAATAAAAAATTAATTAATTAAAAAAATATCTTTTTACAAAAAATCCATATTTGTCATTGTCATAATATAATTGTTTTGCAAAATAAAAATAAAAAATTAAAAAATTAAAAAAATAATAAAAATAAAAATAAAAATAAAAATAAAAATTAAAATAAAAAATAAAAAATAAACAATATAATTTTGAATAATAAATTAATAATTTAAATTATAAATATTAAGTATTACGAGCTTTTCATTAATTATCAAATTTATCACATTTATTTGAGTTTTATCTTATGATGACCAATATTTGAAAATATAAAACTTCTTTTTAAAGAAATTTTTTAATGTGGTTAGATTTGAATCATAATACATAAAAAGAATGGTGTGGTAAAAATAAATTTTTTTTTTTTTAATATTCATCACACACTATATGTATATGGATAAAATTATTAATTTTTTTAAGTTTTATGTTGAATATTAAATTACTCTATTTATATAAAAAAAGTAATTTAAATAAAAAATTAAAAAAATGAGATTAATTATATTAAAGAATGCACAAAGTGAGATACTGATCTTGTTTTATCGTCATATTTAGATTAACTTGTAAAAATCCTTTAAAAAAATATAAAAATTCAAAGCTATTATAGTTAAGAGTTTAAAAATAGAAATGGTATTTGGCGAGAGTATTAATTAAATAGAAAGTAGATTTTTTTTTGTTAATAGATTGTTTTCAAAAAGGGAGATAATTTTAATTAGGGTATAATTAAAATTTTAATATTCCAATATACCCACTTTTTTATATAACAACATATACATATAAAGAATAATTTTTTAATTAATTTGGAAATTAATAATTTTGTTCATTTGAGTTGTAATTAAATTAAACAAAAAATATAAAGAT